TCGATAATTAATGAGTTCATATCAAATCATCCATTGATTGATAATCATTGCCATAATCTTTTAAAAGATTACTCGGACGATTTTTCATTGGTGAGATGTTTTACAGAAGCTAATTATAATGACAAAATTCAATTGAAGGATACTGTGATTGAAACTTTATCTTTTAAGCGGGGGATTAAGCAATTGCTTAACCTATTAAACATCAATGATTTTGTTATCAATGATTTGAATTCCATCAATAAATTAGAATCATTGATAAGGAATCAATTTAAGTTTCAAAAATTATGTGAAATATATTTTAATTCAATCAACATCCAATGTTTATTGCTTGATGATGGAGTTTCTAATCTGGTTGTTGATAAGTTGGAATCATTAGATTTTCATTCAAAATATGTAGAAAATATACGAAGAGTAGTTAGAATTGAATCTATATCTGAACAAATTTTAAATGAATTGTCATCATTATCTTCACAGCAACAAATCACTAAAGCATTCTTGGAAAAATTCAACAATGAAATAAGCCAATTATATAAATCTAATCAAATAATTGCATTCAAAAGTATTTCAGCTTATCGTACTGGATTAAATATTCAATTATTTGATATCAATAACAACAACAATGATGGAGATTCAACTAAGGTGGAAGATAGTTTTAAAGAATATATTACAAATATTAAAAACTCATCTTTGAAAAAATTAAATAATAAAATCTTGATTGATTTTATCATAAATGAAACTTTTAAAATTGCAATTAAATATGATTTACCAATTCAATTTCACACTGGTAAGTAAACTTTTATTTTATTTCTTTTGTTGGAATTTTCTTGAAAAGAAATTTTTTTTAATTATTTAAAAAAAATTTTTTTTAAAATTATAGGATTTGGTGACAATGATCTTGATCTATTATTGGCAAATCCTCTTCATCTTCGTCCTTTAATTGAGAAATTTCCAGATGTCAAAATTGTTCTATTACATTCTTCTTATCCTTATACTCGTGAGGCTGGTTATCTTGTTTCTGTTTATAATAATGTTTACGTTGATTTTGGTCTTGTATTTCCCCAGCTATCTCCAGCTGGGCAATTAAACAATCTGAAACAATTGGTAGGTAGCATGCATGTGATGTATTATATAATTTGAGGTTTATTATATGATGTGTTGTACTAAAATATTATAATATTTTAGATGGAAATTTGTCCAACTAACAAAATATTATTTAGCACAGGTAATATTCATTATTATAATTAATTATTGTTATTGCAATCTAATCTCAATTCAACATGCTCCAATTTAATCTAATCTGATCCATTCTAATTTAAATCATAGATGGACATTTTTTACCAGAGACTTATTATTTGGCAACAGTTCAAACCAAAGAAATATTGTCAAAAGTTTTGACAGAGTTTGTTGATAGTGAATATTTGAATGTTGATGAAGCATTAAACATTGTTAAAAATATTTTATTTGAAAATTCAAATAAATTATACAAATTAAATCTCACCCCAAAATTACCTGAATCTACTTTTTCTCCACTTCAAGTTGTTTCTGCTGGCAAGCATGGTAGGCCATCACATTTTCAAAATATTTTGGAATATATTCTCAATATGTATTAACAACAGTAATAATGTTTATTTATAATTACACATTTATCCACATTTGTGCACGTATACTTTACATTGCAGTCAAATTGATCACTGATCTAAAATCTAAAGGAGTAAAGTTTGTGAGATTAGGATTTATGGATTATTGCAACCTTCATAGAATTCGTCTTGTACCAATTGATAGATTCTTCAATGATGTAGTAAATAATGGGCTAAGTTGTGCTAAAGCTCTACTTGGTCTTCCTTTCTATATGGATATTGTGTCAGTTGGCAGTGGAGTAAGTGTAGCTGATGAAATGTTATTATTTCCCGATCTTAATACAATTAAACAAATCCCATATCATCCATCACATGCTCACTGCCATGCCTTCATGAAAGAAAAAGATGCTTCTAGAAGTGGCTTTCCTTTATGCACAAGAACTTTACTAAAGAATGTTTTAGATAAGGCTGAAAAAGAACATGGATTAAAGTTTTTATGTGGGTTTGAAAATGAATTTATCTTGATTAAAGATAAATTATATAACCATCATCCTAAGAACAAGAACAAGAATGGTAGTAGTGATAAAGAAAGTGATGTTGATGGTAATGATTATAGAAATGAGCCAAAACCAATTGATAAAACAACTTATTGTTTAGCATCATCATTTTCTGGTAGATCAGCAACAATTCTTGATGAAATTGTGGAAAGCATTCAAAACCAAGATATTTTAGTGGAACAATTTCATTCCGAGTCTGCTTTTGGCCAATTTGAAATAGTCACTGCTCCTTATGATCCATTAACAACAGTTGATAAATTAATTATAACCAGACGAACAATCTATGATGTTGCGAAATTAAATGATATCAGAGCCACTTTTCTGCCTAAACCTTTCAAAGATCAAGGTTTGGTGCTAAATTCTATTCTGAATTTATTGAAATTATTATTTGGTATTTTTATTGATTTATATTTAATAACAATAATTAATTATTTTTTTTCTTTTTCCAAAAAATTAGCCGCAACTGCTTCTCATTGCCATTTATCATTTAAAGAATTAAATAATAATAATAATAATTCTACTAATTGTGGCAACCATGACGATGATCTTTTGACTCCTATGGAAGAATTTTTTATTGCTGGTGTAATATCACATATTAAATCTTTGTGTGCAATTACTTTACCAACTAAAAGTTCCTATGATCGTATTACAGTTGAACATTCTTGGGCAGGGTCATGGATTTGCTGGGGTTATGAAAATCGGTAGTTATTTATATTTATACTTAATTTATTGATTTGGGGATATAAAATTTATTTTTTTTAAATCTAAAAAAAATAGTGAAGCACCAATTAGGATTTGTAAGAATTCAGTATCTGGTATAAATTTTGAATTTAAATTTGTTGATGCCACTTCAAATCCTTACTTGGCTGTTGCTGCAATAATTTCTGCTGGAATTGATGGAATTGTTAAAAAATTAGCTTTAAACACTAAACCAATCTCTAGTAAAATTTTATTATATTTTTTATTTTTATTTTTTTTATTTTCTATTTTTTTTTTATTTTTTTAACAAAAATATAATTATTCCTATTTAATAATAAATATTGTTTAGTTGATCCTGGTCATTTATCTGATGAAGAGCGCAAATCTAATGGAATTGAAAAATTACCAGCAACTTTAAAAGAATCTTTAGAGTCTTTAAAACAAGATAAAGTGTTGATTAAATGTTTAGGAGAAAAAATTATTCAATGTTATGTGGCCGTCAAAGAAGTAATTATCTGATTAACAATAATAATTTTATTTGTGTTTATTTAATTATTAATTTAATTAATTATTATTTATTTAGAATGAAATGAAGTATTTTGAAAACAAAGCTAAAGATTTATACAATGTTTTACTTGAAAAATATTAAGATGGATACTGTATTAGTATTACAAATGTCAAGCTCTAAATTTTGTAATAAACTTTAGAATTTTTCATTGAACGACAATTAAAATTGATTTCACCACAACATTCTTCAAAATTTGGCATTACTGACAAATATTGTGCTGAATCAATTTTATTTTATTCATTACAGTCAGGAACTTTTTATCATTTAATGGAAAACTTTTTGAAAATGATGCTTGAATAGAGATGTTAACTATTCAGCTGGTTTGGTTTGAAAAACTGCAGTTGATGGTTCTGGAAACTTATATATTATATGTTCCTGGTGGTAAAGTTTATGTTAAAATTCCCTGATGTTGCCAGCTAAGATATAGGTGAATTTAATAGAGACATCAAAAAAGGAAATATCACACATGAAATCTACCTGCCATGTGATATAATGGCTTTTTTGGTGACAATATTCGTTTTTAAATGATAAAATTGGCCAGTAACATCTAATACAAATTTCGGGGTTCTGGTTCTATTTTTCACAGTTTAAGCTAAAGTTCAAGCCACAGTTTAACTGTTCATTTTACTTGATTCATCCTTAATATATTAATTGTATTTGTTATTTTTTGACTAGTTTCAAATGCAACGCAATTAATTGGTTATATGATCCAAAATTGCTGATACTCGTGATGTTTTATCTATCATATCCAATACACATCTAATTTATAATATATTGAATCCGCCAACATACAATCAAACCATGTCACAGTGGATTATAAATTAAATTCTTGTTGTAACGGATTTTTAAAAAAAATTTTCTTCATATAAAACATATAATAAATCCGTTGTGGTAAGATTATAATTAATAATCTTGCCACAACAGATTTTAAATAAAATTTTCTTATGTGCCCCATTCATCCACTGTGACAAAGTTTGACTGTATATTGTGTTGTGCTGAAGTTGTTCAATTGTTTTAAATCTTGTTTTAAAGAATCTATAATCACCAATTGTAGGTTTTGCTGATGACAATAATGCAATAGTTGTTGCTGTATAAATTAGACCTAAAACCTCAAGCACCACTTTTATAAAACAAATGCAATAGAACTTTTATTAATATTAACTAATTTATTGTTCAGTTCGGCTGAATAAATCATGTGTGATTTAAACATTTTATTTTATTTACAATATTAAAAAATGGAAAATTGTTATTCTGCACTGATTCAATAATTATTACACTAAAATTGATAATCCAAAAATTTCGCATTTTTAATTTCAATAAAATATTTGACCGCTCTTTACTGGGGTATTCGATATAAGTTGATTAACAAATCTAATTAATGTCATAATGTAAATCTATATATGCGGATTTTTTTATGGTGCCCCCTTTTTTTCTCTAA